TAGTTGGATAAAATTTTATTCAGATTGGTTAGCTAGTTTATAAAGATCTTTAAAAAATAAGAGTGCATAGAATATTGCTAAAATAAATGTAAAAAAACTTAAAAATAGATATATATATTGTTGAATAGATATAATATTAAAGAATTATTTAAAGTAATAAGAAATTAGATTGTAGATATTATAAATTGTTCTTGAATTAAGAAGTTTACATTTTTCTAGATTAGTACAGATATATATGTAATATATTGTTGTTTTAGTAATATAGTTTGTTCAGTCTTAAATGAATTAAATAGTTGATAGTTTAAGTTTTTAAAAGATTAATTTTTTATATTCATTATTAGTTACTGTTGTTATTTGGTATTTGATATAATTGTAAACTTTTTGTTCATTGATATTACTAAATTTTTTTTTATAATATGTAAAAAATTTTTAAAACTAGATATCAAATTGTAGTTTAATTAAATAAAAAAATAGAATATAATAGTTTATATTAAATTCTTAAACAATAATATTTATAGTAATATTAATTTAAAATTTAGAAATATTATGAATTTGTAAAATAAAAATATTGCTTTTCAGAATATTAGAAATATGATTTATATATATAAAGATTTTTAAATAGATGAGTTTAAGTTGTAAGTTATGAAAGAATTTTTTATAATCAATAGATTAGTATTCGTTATATAGGAATAAATAAAGTCTGACAAGATTTATAACAGTTTGAAATTATTTTTTAATTAATTAAAAAGGAATAAAATAGTATGATTTAAAAAGTTATTTGTAATTTGTTTTATAAAAAAGAGTATAAGTGAATTTAGTAAACCAGTTTTTTGTTATACTAAAAAAAATTTTAAAGAGTATTTTGGTTGCTTCAATAATGTGTAGATTTTTGTTTAGAATTGTAGTTATAATAAATTTAGATTTTTTGGTTACTATAATTTAAATTAATAAGTTAAAATTGTTTTTTATAACTGGTTTGTCAATTGTTATAAAATTAATAATTAAACTAGAATAGAAATCTTTAAAAATTGGTTTTAAAAAATCTAATATTTGAATTTTAGATATTATAAATATAGATAAAGAAGAGTTTTCTGAGATAGAATAGCTTTTGAACTAATTTAAAAGATGATTTTATTAGATTATAATTTGTAGATTCATTTTAGAATTATAAGTAATAATAATAATAGAAAAATATTTAAAGTTGTAAATAGTTTAGAACAGAGATATAAAAGAATTTTTTAAATAGTTTATAATATAGATAAAATGTTTTATAATATAAGTAATAAAAAAGAGCAGATAAAAAAAATAAGAATTAAGCAAGAAAATTAAATTTTTTAGAATATTAGTAAATTTTCTAGATTCTTTTAAAAAAATTTAAAAAAATATTGAATATTTGGATATTTTTAAGATTGATAAAAAGTAAAATTTTTAGAACAACTTTGTAAATCTTTTGAAATTAACTAATAGAATTCAGAAAAGAGTTTAAATAAAAGTTTAAAGAGAAATAATGATAAATTAATAAGTTTTGATTTGTTAAAGATAAAATATATATTGAAATGATTATTACAATAAGCTAAATATTTTTGTTTAATAAGTGAAGATAAGTTTGCTTAGTAAAATTTGATGTAAATTGAAAAAAAAATATTTTTTAGAAAACATTAATTTGTATATAAAATAATAGTTAGAATTTGATAAAATTAGTATAGTTAGAAGCAGAAAGTTTAGTGTATTTAGTTTACTTAGAAGTAAAAGAGTTTAATTAAGAATAGGAGATAGTATTTTAAAATTACTGTATATATAAATCTAATAGTAAATATTTTTTATATTTAATTTTATAAAAAATTATATTAAATAAACTAATTTTAATTATTAAATAAAAGTTATAGAGTAGGTCTTTTTAAATCTAATAATAGTAAAATTATTAAAATAAGTTAAAAACTCATTAAAATATGAATTTTTAAAAATTAGAATATAAAATTATAGAATAAAATTAACTAATAGATTTATATAAATTAACTAATCAAATTCATTATTTTTGTATTACTTAAAGAAATTTTAACTCATCTAAATAAACTTTATTATATATGCAAGTATATTTTTTTAAAATAATATAATATTTCAAAATTTTACTATAATAGATAAATATTTTTATTTGTAATATGAATTATAAAATTTTTTTATTAATTAATAAAAAAATAAAAAAATTATATTAATAACATATATTAATTTTAGATGAAAATTTTAATATACCATACATAACTATATAAAAATGATCTACATGTCTCCTATCTTTAAGTATAAATTGAGAAAGTTAAAAAAAATATAAATAAAAATAATTTTATTAAAATATAAAAGTTTGTTTGTATTAAAAATTAAATATAAATAAATTTGTATTGTTTTTAAGACAAAAAGTTGTAAAAAAAAGGTTTAATTAGAAGTTTAAGAGTTATTAGTTTAATAAAATATTAAGAAAAGTTGAATTGTTTATTAGAGAAAAGTTGACTTTAGTGATCTACAAAAAGAGTTAGGTGCTTGACATTACTATTATGCGTTTATATAAATTTGAATAAAAATTATTTTCCAAAAACAAAGATTTTTTAAAAAAAAATAATTTTTTTTGTAACTAATTATATATAGAAATAATCTACATTGTACTCTATCCTTAACCCAAGGTTCATTAATAAATTTACTTAAGAAAGTTTTTAGTTTTGAAACTAAAATATTCAATTTGCTTTTGGTACTGAAAGAGTTGTAATTTTTATTAAATTACTAGTTGTATAAATATATAGTATATCTAATTGGCCAGCATAGTAAAAAGTAAAAATAGTTCAGCAATCTAAAAAATAAGGTATGCCCTTGAATGCATGCTTAATTTTTTAACCGTGCCTCGAACCTATCGTAAGCACCGTCCGGTCATAACATAAACACAACACCACGTGACTATATAGTTACGTTAATATCAATATATCGATATGAATTAAAAAATTTTTCACACACGTATAAAAAAATTAATCTAGCTATATATTATCGTCATTAGTGTAAGTCATAATATCATCATACTATAAAAGAACAAGTCACATATACTGTATTTCAAAATATTTAGAGTAAAAAGCAAAATGAATAATATAAGTGTATATATGTTCATATTATATATAAGACAGAGTCGATGCCCTCCACTTTGAAGGAGTCCTGCACTTTGCATTTAGGGAGTAAAATTCATATTGCTATATCTATATACATGTACTTTGGACCTAAAAGGATCATTCATGCCATTTAGTTATAATTGCTTTTAGAGGTTCACTCATAGATCGAGAAATTAGAATTGACTGTAAAATATTTTTTAAATATATATAACTATAATCGTCGATAACCAACGGTATTGTCTTGTGATAGCGACGAAATTTAAAATTCCTATCATGTGACAGCACCCACGGTGAGACTTTTCTGATTATATAATCTTGCCCTGAAGAAAATTTGGGGGATTACATTTTAAGCTGAACAATCTTTTATTTGGTAAAACAATTGAGCGGAAGAATGAGTTCTTGGTGTACATGTTAATATCATTACGGAAATGAAATTAGAGATGATTGGGTCAGTAACCTTGCGCGTATAATAGATGTTATCTTGTGCATATAACTTTGCGTTTCTATTAGCATTTAATAACCATTATCTTTATAATCAAAAAGTTATAAAATCATGTATGGAGTCGAGATGCTGACTAAGTTACATCCTTAAAAAATGAATAATGCATTTTTGTTTATTGAGATTAACGAAGTAAAAAGCCCATGAAATTGGTATTTCTGATAAAATCGTGTTATCATGTCGTACTCAGTCGTAGGGTGACAAAATTGATGGATGTTTTGATATTATTTTCACGCGGTGAAAATAAATAATTGGTATCTCTTAATTCGATTCTGGTGCTACGTAAACAATTGCTGCTTTTCAGTTTCGTTGTCTATATTTCCACATTTGTGTTTATTGCAACCTAAAAAGAAAAGCCAACTTTAAGGTTTTTTTTGAAGATTAGGGGGAAAAGAACAAATCACCTTCGCGGAGATTATTGGTTTGAAATATAATTCACGTGACATCAAATAATTTTTCGAGTGAAATGACTCTATTCGCCAAGATTGATAAACGAGAAACAGATAAAAACTAATACCGATATTTTGGATGATGAGCATCCGATCACCCTTATAACATACATGCATATATGTGTATATTCGGCAACTTTAAAAATTAAGTAGTCTTTCATATAATACGCGGTAAAATCAGTACAGAAATGTGTAGAGGCAGTAGAATTTACTGGGAAAAGTAAAAGACCAAGTAATTTACAATATAAATGAAAAGAGAAACACGTCACCAAAATTGAAAGCATAAAACTAGATAATTGAACTATTTTAAAGATAGTTATGTAGGTACGTACCGTACGTAGATAGGTAGGTATTACGGATGTCATCTTATTTGTTTGTATGTTCTTTTTGTGGTACAATTTCCTCTCATGTAACCTACATTTAAGAAAGTTGCGTCCAGCTCTAGAACCTGCCCTCCTTGCATTTCCAAAAACGTTTGGCACAGATGGTACCAATCATAAACTCAAGCTAAAAATATGTATAGTTATTATTACATGAGAAAAACAAACTTGTTTCTCACAGGAAATTTTCAAAGCAAAGAATCAAAAAAATGGAAATTCACAGCAAAGTTCGCGCAAGTTTACATTAAAAAAAGGACAAAAGATTGGTTAATACATTAAGATCGCAGAACTAAGATTATTTTCATAAAAATTAACGCATCCAAGAGAAGAATAGCATGAAATGAAGTTACACATGAGTTAACTAAAAAGTTAGACAGAGATTATACAATTGACGATACAAATTTTATGCGAGATCTCACGCCAATGAAGGACCTTTCCAGATTCCAAGTTACAAAAATTTAGGGTTCCCAACGTTGGATGTAATGAAGATGAACAGATTGATCGACCCATGAATCTGCAGGATTATTACATGGAACGCCTCGAAAATCATGAACCGCGCATGGGAACAGGTATTTAAATTTTTTTTAAATCCAAAACCACTAATTCGTTTTTATTTATTTTTGATCGATTTTCACAACTAAAAATGGTATTCGATGTACAAATAAAAATACTTAATATGTTGTACAATTCCATATGTAGATGTTCCCCCATGTCGGAAAATTCTATTATGATAATTTATTCATGAGACTTTTTCCCACAGAGAACAAATCAGGATCATGTGATAAATTTACCTTATCATCCTTGTTACTGGTAATAGGTACTTTTCTTTTTTTGTGGGAGGTTCAATCACTGATTCATCTATTGCCAATTACAAGGTATTTTTGAAATTGATATCTGAATATCATTTATTTGGGTAACTCAACAGAACACTGTACGTCATTTATATATAGTCACTGCAATGATATACGTACTAAAATCATACTCATACGCCGGGTACTTTAATCTGTGAAATATGGTATTTGGTATGGTATTATTTATTATATTATTTATTGCATAGATTTAAATACAAATAAAGATTTTTAATCTAGGTTTCGATTTGGGCGTTCGGATTGTCTTTCAACTTTTAGATTTATACATTTTTAAAGTTTATATATTTAGATTTCATATACAGTACATTTTAGATTTATTCATCATAGATTTTTTTTTTATAATTTTATATCGATATATTTATTTTTTTATATATTTTTATTTAATTTTATCGTTATTTTATTTATCTCATTATATATTTATTATAATATTCCAGTATATTATGTTATTATTTTGGTACAAAACCAGGTCAGCCACTTTTGTTTTTATTATATTATAATTTAAACAATTTATTATGTAATGTTTTGACAAGACCCATCTCCGTGATTCTGGAAAAGCAAACCTTTGGTCCCTTTTTTGAGCAAATTCTTTGTTACAGCAACTCTTCATATTTTTCTTTTCCAAATGCTTCCTTCTTTTAACGAGTTTTATAAACAAGTAATTGGAGGCATGCAAGTCCGTATCTAGTTATGGGCTTGGCTATTCGTACAACATTTCGTAATTGAAAATGTGAAATTGCTTTTTTTCCCTTGGATTCGACCAAAAAAAATGGGCGTAACTTTTTGGTTAGAAGTTTATGTGACATCTATCCATATATGCTCAAGGTCTGATCTCTATTTATCTGTTATCAGCCCGAAAGTGTTAGGGTTAATGAGTTAGCGTTAGGGTTGGTGTTAGGATTAAGGTTAGTGTTAGCATTAGAGTTAATATTCGTGTTAGCATTATAGTTAATATTCGTGTTAGCATTAGAGTTAATAAAACCCCTAACCACCCCGAAAAAAATTTTATATGTACAAATGTTTCCAAATACTCTTTCATATATATCTATTTGCTTTGGTTTGCCAAACCAAAATAAATTGGTGCGCATATGATTCGTGTCTTTTTTCGGTTTTTCGGATTTGGTCCCGTTCCCTGGTTTATTCATTTACTTGTTACATAAATATGTTACCATAATTCCCTTCAACTCGTCCCTCTTATCTAATAATAATCCGAAATTTTTTCTATATATATGGCATCATTTTCTGTTACTTCCCAATACCATTATTTGTTCAAAATTCCAAAAAGGTTATTAATAAAAAAGAAAGAAAAAAAAACCAACGTCAACACGCCCTCAGCTTTTTTTCATCTCTACCGGGTTTGTAAATTTATTTCTAAAAAAAAAAAGTCTTGTTTTTTCCGGATATTTTTAAACCCAGACCATTTTTTTTTAAAAAAAATAATATATATATATATATACATATTTATTGATTGTAAACCAACCTCTATTTATCCTCTTCGTGTCTCATCATTTACCCGTTATTATCTAATTCAATAGGCCGCTTTTATGTGAATACAAAAATATCTGTAAGCATATATGGGTTCTTGTCCCTCGAAAAAAAAAACCTTATTTTAGATATCTCCTTTTTCTCACCTTTGTCTTTTTGCTTTCGATTTTTCGATTTTTCTTTGCTTGATAAATGTAGAATAGCAATAATACGAACTTATAGATAACGAACAAACATATAATAAATGGATGAAAATGTATCTTACCAATTTGCACCGGTGCGACAGCGTAGAGAAGATAGACAGGAGATGTATGTATATTATTTTGTCCGATTATTTTTATAAGTACAGAGTTTTTCACAAAATATTTGATACCTCTATATGCGTTACGAGATAATAACTCCATATTGATTGATTCTATTTAATAACTGATTCTGGTAAATCAGTCAATATGAACTAATCCTTCGTCAACAACCAAAGCAATCAAGGATGTGTGGTATCGGTGAAAAAGGTAATAATATACAAAATCTTTCACTTTTCTGGACTAGTTCATGTCAATGCTGTGATCATTGTGTGGGTGGATACACAAATCCTTGTTCCGTTGTTATTGTCAATTGCTTCACTTTCAGTAATCACTATAGAGTTATACGAAAATCTTTGAAAATCATGTACTTGGGTTTTTTAGCGGTGGTTTGCGATTGATAAGACGCGTGAATTCAAGCATTTGTAAATTATAGTATATCGGATCTGTTTCTAGCCATTATCAGTGGCTTATACGTCATTAATTGCCTTAAGCAGAATCCAGCAGAATCTAGTAAATTCATTCATGGTGTATGGGATCTTAATAATTATTATTATTTATTTATGCAGTGTTTAATTTCCTTAATATCACATGATTGCACATGATCAAAACATTGTATCAATATTATTTTTCTTTCTATACTATTTTTTTAACCGTTAAACTTACAAGCCTTTTCTTTTTTTTTTAATATTAGCTGACAGACGTCCGATAGATCCACCTCCAATAGTCCAGTTAAAAGTCCATGATCCTACCTTGCCGCAAGCCGAAAAAAGGTATCTCGATCTTAATCACGTTTATGTCACGTGCATTTCTTAACTAATTATCGTTCGTTTTCCAAAAGTTCATTCCTTCAGAATCCTTATTTTTTCATGTATGCATCTCTAATGGCTGCCGATACAAATGAAGAATTACATTTACTCCGAGATGGCAAGACTCGTTCTACGACCGGTTCCGTTGTTTCCTCTTTATATCATCTTAAAGATATTGATAACTCGGATGCCGGATTTTTCGTATTTCCCGATTTATCTGTACGCATGGAAGGAACATATCGTTTAAAGCTAAGTCTTTTTGAAATAATTGAGTATGTATTGATTTAATTTCTTAATAATTATTTTTATTTCGATGTAATCATTTATATCAATTTTTTATTTATTATAGTCGTGAAGTATATCACTGTAAATCAATATTTTCTGAAATATTTATTGTATATTCAGCAAAAAGATTTCCGGGGATGGAAGGTTATTATAATATTAATTTCTAACTTCTATCTAAAGTTATAAACTTTTTAACATGTGCTTGTTTTTTCTTTATAGAATCAACGTTTTTATCAAGATCTTTTGCTGATCAAGGTTTAAAAATCAGAATAAGGAAGGAGATTAGGATACGAAGGTTATTATTTCAGTTGCTGTATGATTTTTCGAAACCTTTTCCAGAAAGCATACAATATTGGGCAGTAGATGAAAAATAACAGGGTATTTTTTTCATTGGAGTTAATGTCACTCCATGTGCTGTTACGCAGCAAATGAGTGAAATTAACTCTGATGAAAAAAAGGTTCTGTTATGTATCGTATATACACATTATTGACGTTATCCGGCGTTTTATATGGTGATGTGAAGTTTTTTCCGTGATATTTTGCTCAAATGATTACGTGATCTCGTACCAAAAATATCATGCAAAAAATTATCATTATCATATAAAAAGTCAGATTAAGGCATAATACCGTCAAGGTCGGTCACATAGTATTAACTTTGTCGGGATTATGTCTTTTCTGGAAAATAGCTTCCGGGAATTTGGTCAATTTTCTAATTATTATATTAAACCTTATTTTTATTCTAATTTTTTTTTAAAAAAAAATAATAATAATAGGCGGTTAGCTAAAAGAAAAGAATTAGAACCGATAGAAAGTGCTGATGCAAATAGGATGAAACGTGCACGTGGTGATGACAGATTCGATAATGATAGTCATGAATCTTCCGACTTAGAAATAATAGATCGTACTCAACCTACAGATGAAATACGTTCTAAGAGGACTCCTGATTTAACTGAACGACGAAAAGATCATTCAAATAAAAGCCCATCATCGTCTTACATTCGAGGTCCATATGATCATGTACCTCATATGGGTCCATATGATCATAATGTGCCTCTGTACGGACCTGGATATCCACCACACCGACCTATTTCATGGCACGACCGTCCAGAATATATGAGTGATCCACATTACCCCCCTTATTATGATCTATATGATAGAAGATATGGTTATCATCCTTATTATTACCCTCCACCGTTACCTGATGGTGCGGATCATCATCGTTATCCATATCCTCCTCCACCAACTTATGGTAGGCCACCAATTTATCCAAGTCAGCCTGGATATTACGATGCACCACCGAGGATACCTCATTCCTCAAACGAATCTCCGGGCACCTCTAGGCCTTATGGATATGGAATATCAAATCCTTACCCTCCGCCGCGTCCATGGTCGCATTATGGTGAACGTCCATCTCCGAGAGATCATAATTCTGAATCCTCATCTTCTTCCCCGTATCGGAATGCACCATCCCCTATGCCTCCACGTCATTCAATGTATTCATATCCTGAATATTATCATACGTATCCGCCTCCACCACCGAAACAGGATTACGGTCAAAATGATCCTGTTTCGAGTCAAAATGGATCTGCTAAAATTCCTATCCAGGATCTTTTATTTACCGAACAGCAACAATTACAACCAAATGAACGCGCTACCGGAGGTGTCCCCCCACCTCGCTCATTCGGTGCTCCGCCATCTGCCTTTGCTCATCTTTACCCTCATCCTGGTCGTCCTCACGAATATCCATCACGACATGATATGTACAATCATTCTCGATATTCACACGATGTTGGTTATCCACCTCATGAAAGTTTGCCACATTATGGTCAAAATGTTACCTCTCATTCACCAAGCCTTGCAAGTGCAAAAGCTATACCACCATCTACAACATTGCAATCTCAAGATTCTACACATCCCACACATCCTACGCGTTCTCCAACGACTTCAGTATCAACGATCCCACCAATATCTTCAAGATCTGATGCTTCTATGCACGCAAGTCGAAGTACGGAATACAACCAATACGATCATACACGTCGATCATTCTCTAGTGAGAAATCATCTGATGGCAATTCGGGAACAGTAACGCCTTCCAGTGCAACATCACCCCAGCAGCCTTCAGTTTATAACGGTGGACCCGTGATTCCGACAGCATCGCGTTCTAAATCATCATTAGTATCGTTACCTTCATTGACTCCTTTAAGCATTTCCGACCGTACTGATCAATATGCAAGAAGTTCCTCCAGTGGTCCAAATCATTCGTCATATCAAAATTCCTCAAATATTATTTCGCAGCAAAAATCATCTCAAAGATCACAACATTCATCATATGAATTACCTTATTCTCAAACTTCAGACAGAATGTCATTTTCTTCCACAGTCACTACAAATCAAGATATAGTTAGTGATTGTAATCGATTAAAATTTTATAAGCTTAACCGAATCGATAATTTTGATTCGGTTAAGCCGGCTTAGTCGGTTACTATTCCAAAAAATTAAATCTGCCAACAATCCAATTTTTGAACTATAACTAAAATCCGGAAATCCCGTTGGCCATGCTCGTATTTTATGTTTTACTTTACATAAATAAAAAAGGATAAAAACGAGCATGAAGGAAGTCCGTTTTTATTGACTGGTCAACAAAAGTTCTGATTAAAATTAAAGATCAGTTTTTATATTATTGTTATACCTGATGCTTTGATTGTGAAAATTTTGTCTTTCACAATAACAATAATATAACTTGCTCACGTGAAGTCCGAAATATTTAGTGTATTAGTTTTCCGGTCTAAGAAGTTGGAAATTTTGTATAACTTTATATACACACACTGGCGTTATCAGCATCGTGCCCAATAAAAGTTAGTGGAACACGCGATCCCAAAGGCTTATATGAAGGATATGGTTTTAAAATTATAATCGTACAAGGTTTTTATTTATATAAGAAAAACATATATATTGTCTTTCGGATCAAACTTTGTGCACTTTTATAAAATTTTAGAATATTGACTCATATTTGATTCCCATTTTACCGTAAATTCTCGAAATGCGGGTATCTACGCGTTATTTCGAGTACGTCATTTTGAAATATGTCGATTGACATAATGAGCAAAAGATTCTGCTATGGTAATGTGAGAGTTTTTATTGATTAGTCAAACACAATAAATTTGTGCATGTGATAAGTGAAGATTCTTCACGGTTATCAATATTTAGTATAATAAACTTGCAAATTGTGGATTGAATTGATTAGAAATTTCGACATTTTCTTTGTAAGAAGTAATTTATTCATCGCCTAGGCGATGTTATCCCCTATAAGTAGGGTTGGAGCACGGGAAAATTTTGGGTGAGTGAAACCTTGTGAGCCATAAGCCCTGGCACCTATAGGCAGGAACACGGACAATTTCGATTTATTTCGATTTTGGCTTCAAGTCAGTAACTCTGGTTGGAATTATTAAGATCACGTGGTTATTTCGAATTTCGGGTTTACTACTGTACAAGAAATTTTAATTACATGATAATATTTGTCTTGAGTAATAATATCATTCTTATGGGATTTATTGAGAAGAGGCCCAGGAAGGCCCTTTCGTCTAGAAGGTCAAGGACAAGGCAACTTTACTGCCTAAATGCCAGTTCGAACCTGTCAAGGGTCATCCTCAGGTTTAACCTGCCATGAGCCTTATCTCGTTTTTTTATATGTAAATTGGAGCAAAAAAAATTTAAAAATTTCTGTGTTTTTGTCTATATGGTAGCTTTTTCGTAATTGGTCAATTTTATTCAATTGAATTTATACAGTTTAAAGTCTTTTATAGAAAAAAGAGAACAGTTATTTAAATATTAACAAAGAAATATTTATATAAGAAGCTTTAAGTATTTTGAATATCTTAATGATTTTAACAATTTAATATTTCTTATTATAAAATGGATTTTAATATGTTAATGTACATTAATGTACAATAATTGTATATGTTAAAGCTTCAAATTAGTTTAAAAAAACATAATTGAGTGGGTTTTGGAAAAAGCTTAACAAAATAGAATGTGGTGATTTAGTGAAGTGGATAAGTTGTTAACTTTGCAAGTAGTAGGTTGGGTGTTTAAATCCTATCAATGGTGATTGGGTTAGGGTACTTGCATCAGTATTACTGGCAGATTATGAAGCATCAATGTAAATATAGCATTATACAGAAGAATACAAACTGATATTGAATAATGCAAACTTTAAATAAGTTCTTGTAATTATATAAATCTGTTGAAATTAGAAAACAAGAAATCTATTTAAAAAAACCCAAGTAAAAAGATAGCACAAATCTTCAATAGTGTTATTGTAAAAGTTATATTTAAAAAAACAGATACTATAATAAAATTTACTAAAAACTATTAAGCTGTAGCAAATTTTAAAGTGATAAGTGTTGAGTAAAAGATCTTTTATTTAAAAAAAAAAAAAAAAAAAAAATATAAAAATAAATAATAATAATAATTAATTAAAAATGAAATTTAAATTTAATAACTTCCTAAATACTATAAGGATTTTTATAATAGGTCAGTTGTAGAGAAGATTTGATCTATTGTTTTTTTTGTATTAGTTAGACTTAACAAATAGTTTATCTTTTACAAGAATTATCTGTACTAGACTTAGAAGTATTCTAAAATACTAAAAAAAATAATTAGTAACAGATAATCAGGCTGTCCTAAGCTATATATGGTTTTTTAAATTCTAATAACATAAAGCTAGTACCTGTTAAAGTATTATTCATAAATACAATTATTATTTTATGTTATTACAAGAAAGAAAAATAAAATATATAATAATATAAAACTAGTATTGTCAAAATAATTAATTAAAAAAACTAGTTTTTCATTTTATATTATTATAAGAAAAAGAAAGAAAATTAAATAAAGAAAAATAATTTATAGAAGCAATAAGATAAAGGAATAGAATAAAGAATAGTTTTATTAATTTTTTTTTTTTTTTTTTGGTATTAAGGTGACCTCTTTGGTCTTTTGACTTTTATTAATCACTTGTCGGTATTGTGG